GCATGGGGAAGGGAAGGCCTTGGAGCAGGGAGGTACAGGCAGAGACTTGCATGGGGAAGGGAAGGCCAGCTGTCACTTCCCCATCACCTTCTTGGCCAGACCCCCCATGCCCTTACCTGCTGGAGCCTCTCGATGTGGGCGCGGCATAGCTCAAGGTCACTGTCTCCTGGGACCACCACAGTGCCCAGGGGCACCGCTGGGGGACAGGAGAGGCCGTCAGCAGGTGGCTGCAGCCCACTGCCCTGCCCTCGGGGGCCTCCAAAGCACCACTGGCCCTGCCTCGCGCCTTGGCCCCCACTCACAAGCCTCCTTGAGCTGCTCCTTGTCATAATGTAGGGCCTCATAGTCATACATGCTCACTCTGTTCACCTGGATCCGGAGCTGCTCGGGCACGGGCTGCTGGCTGAGGGGTGGGGGCAGGAAGAAGGCTCAGCAACAGGCTCTGCCCCAGGGCACCAATCCTGGTCTGGGTGCTAAGCTCAGTAGGACAGGGAGGCCTCCCCACTCCCAACTGCCCTGGACAGAGACAGAGGCTGTGCCAGCCACCTGTACAGCTGGGAAGCAGGGCCAGGGAGCTGCAGCGTCTGGCCACCAGCTCCCAGCAAGTGGTGGCTGGGGGTGGGACGTACTCGCTGTGCAGGGGGGCGGCACTCCGCCGCTTGGCCTTCTGCACCATGGTGGCCTGGTTGCGCAGGGCGATGCGAATGCGAGAGGCAGCGAGCTTGCAGGGCTCGCCGTCCACCTGCACTGGGATCGCCTTGAACGTGGTAAGCACCACCTCGCGGCACTGTGTTAGCCGCTCGCCGTGCCCGCCCACCTGCAGTGCTGCCTGTGGCAGAGGAAGCTCAGGTCAGGTGGGGCGGGGGGCGGGGTGGTGGGGCCCCCGAGTTCTGTTCCTCTGGCCAGAGAACAAAGGTGTGGATGGTCTCCAGCCAAAGAAGAAGACAGGGTGAGACTCAAACAGAGCGGGGAGGGGAGAGTGTCCCGGACAGAGAAGGGAGGGGGAGGTGAACCCCTGATCCTGGCCAACCAAGGGAGCGCCGGTGACTGTCCCTCCCATCTTCAGGAAGTTGATACTGTAGGGTGACAGAGGCTCTAGGCAGGCCCCATGCTCCACTCACCAGGGATGTCATGGTGAAGCCAATGACCTCGAGATAACCATCATCGTGCCGCTGGGGCTCAAAGTCATGGTGCTCCCCAGGGTGGCCCCAAGGCATGGTGCCTGCACAGTACCTGGACAGGGGCAGAGGGAGGCTTCAGAGACCCGTCTGCTGGGTGGAGGCAGCAGGCCACCCAGCCCAGGCTCTGCTCTCCTTACCTGGGGATGTTCAGGAAAACGATGCACTGGGGTTTCAGGTCCTGAATCTTGGGGGTCAGGTCCATGCCATCACACTGGCGGTGAGAATGGGGGAGGGGTTGGGGGGGTAACATGCAGAGGTGGCTCCCTCCCTGCTGCCCCTCGCGCTGCCTGCTGGCCACGCCCTGCTCACCACCACTCGGATGTGCTTGGCCAAGTCCTTGGAGCTGCCCATCAGGAAGTCTGAAAAGGCTGTCTGTGGGAGGCAGAGGTGTTACCATCTGGTGACAGGGACCTTCCCTTGCTACCACCCAGGCAAGGATCCTGCAGCCTGGCAGATGCAGAGGGCAGGGGGCATGGGTGGTAGATGTGGGCTGGGAGAGTGGTGCTGGCAGGCCCCAGACTCACCCCGGCATAGAACATTTTGTTCCGAAAGCGGCTGTTAAACTTCTCCGGGTTGGCCTCTGGGTGGAGACAAGAAAGGAGGGACAGTCAGCCACTCTTTCTAGGTTGGGGTGAGGACAGAGGGCTGGGAATGACTGTCTTTTCCTAGTAGAGGTGACTCTCCTTGGGGACACTCCTGTGTCCCTCCCTCCCTGAGGCCTTCTCAAGGCTGCCAACCTCTTGATTCGTGAAACTCCAGGGTGACATGGGCGTCGAAGCCCAGGCTGAAGTAGTTGTTGAAGACATCCAGGGGCAGCTGGAAAAGGCCAAGGGACTGAGATGAGGGTGGGGCCTCACAGCCCCACCCCCTCCTGGGGCCCCACCCAGTGGTTTTCAGCCTCCTAACTGACAGCACAGTTAACAACCCCACCACCACCACCACTGAAAGCTCTCCCCATCCCTTCGCTGTCCACTGTCCTTCCTGCCCACATCAGGCTCGGCCCTGCCCTGCCATCAGCTTCTCATCGAGGTTTCCCTAACTGCCCAGGCACCCCAGCCCTGCAGGCACCCTGTGCCCAGCACTGTTCCCAACACTTCTGCACTGTAAGAGTCCTTCGAGAGCAGGGACTGTGCTTTGTTCACTGTTTACAACAGGGCCTGACAAGCAGCAGGGACTCAGTGGAGAGGTGCCAAGGGCTGAATGAACAGCCCTCTTGGGAGGTGAGCACCTTCATTACCACCATACAGATGAAGCAGTGAGCCCGAGAGAAATGAAGACACTTGCTCAAGGTCCCACCAGCGAGAGGGACAGTGGGGCCCTGACACTGAGGTGTGGAAAGGTCCCGGGTCCCGAGCATGGTAACTGCCTGGCTACCCCTGCCCTGCCCTGGCTGACCCACCTGGTCGGTGGCACCCTCGTCACGTTCCTCAGGCCCCGTCTCAGGGTTGGGCTCAGCTTGGAGGTTCCAGCGGTCCAGCTGCACCACGTTTCCCTCTTCTACGTGGGACAGGATCTTGGATACTGGCTCATCTGTGTAGCCCTGGTGGGAGGAAGTGGGGACTGAGCAGCTGCAGTGGTTGGAGACGCCCCTGCCGTGCAGCTGGCCCCTGGCTGCCCCGCCCCCCGTGGGCTCTTACCCCGCCCCAGTTGAGGGTGCGGGCCAAGTCGTTGCCAGTACCCAGAGGCAGGATGGCGACAGGGGGTGGTGGTTTCAAGCGCAGCTGGTCCAGGGTGGAGAGAATCCAGCCGACCTGAGGAGGGCGGAGCAGGAGGCCCATCAGGCCCTGAGGGCGGCCCAGGCGTCAGCCTAGACCCTGCAGCCCCAGGAGGAGCACCCACCGTGCCATCGCCCCCGCAAGCCAGGATCCGCAGGTTGTGCACTTTGCGGTACATCTCTAGCCTGAGGTCAGGGGGAGACAGGTGTGCGGTCAGGGTGTGTGTGCCATGGCTAAGAGCCAGGCCAGACCCTCCACCGCCCCCTGGAAGTACTCACGCCTCTTTGGGACCTCCCTGGCTCAGGTCGAAGACTTGCCGGGGATTGAGGTACCAGAGGAAGGACTGGATGATTTTTGCGCCCTGTGGGGGAGCCAAGAGGTATGGAACCAGAAAGAGGAAGATGGGAGGAGGCAGTTGGGGTGGAAGAGTAAGGGAGACAAAGGTGTGGCTGTGGGGCCAAGCTCAGAAAGGATGGATACAGGGTAGGATATCCTAGGATCCCTGGGAAAAAGGCAATAGAGCAGATGCTGCAATGGGGCCTGGGCAGAGGTGCTGGGAGATGGGCTTGACCCCGACCCCACTCCACAGCTCTCAGTGTAGAGGAGAGGCTGTGCTTACCTGGTTGCCACCACTCTTAGGGTTCACAAACACCAGCAGGGGCTTCATGAGTGGGGACGGGGTGGGCCTGATGATGAAGGGTCTCCAACGGCCCTCCTTGGAGACAAAGAGCTGTAAGCCTGCTTTCTGTCCTAGAGGACTCAACCCCAAGCCAACAGTCCCCAGGGTGACATTCTGCCCCCTCGCCCATATTCATATGGACCATCTCTGGGGTCTGACCTTTGGTAGGTGCAGCCACTGAGAGGTGATGCAGGCAGATCTCATTGCCCGCCCTCCTCGGGGTCCCCAAAGCCTAAAAGTGATCCCCCCAGCCAGAAATGGACCCCACTCCTCCGTTCCCTTCTGACTGCCCGCCGGCCCCAGGTCCAACCTCAGGTCCTTTCTTGCTGGACTTCCTCCGGAAGGACGCTCTCTTTTTCTTCTTGCTCGCCTTGAGGGTATTCTGCAAGGGGGACAGAGGCGGTGCTGACAAGGCGGGTGAGACTGGATGTGGGTGGGGGTAGAGGTGTCCAGGGTGCTGGCAGGACTGACTTGGGGCCTGCGGGCACGGAGGATCCAGGTGGGCGGGATGACCACGGCGGCGTGAACGCCCAGCGAGCAGGGCTCCTCAATCTGCTGCAGCATGAAGCAGGATACCTTGCTGTGGTACTAGAAGGGAGGGGCGGCGAGGCTGAGGAAGTCTGAGCCCCCAGGGCCCAAGCCCAGGGACAGTCCACGGGTCAGGGGAAGCTCTACTCACTGCTTGCTTGCACCAGGAACAACTGATGGCCACAATCTCCTTGCTGTGGAAGGTGAATTTCTGCTGGAAGCCCTGAGGGTGGACAGGACGGCTGAGCACCACGGTCCAGGCCTAGAGCAGAAGGCCCAGCCCCTCCCTGATACCCCATTCTCTCCACCAAGGGAAATGGAGCAAGTTTTGAAAGTCCAACAAACACCATAAACTAAGTGCTGAGCAGGAGTGCTTAACTCAGGGGCCCCAACCTTTCTGAAGTGAACTAAAGGACACTGGGAACAGGTATGGGCCCCAGGCTAACTCCTGCCTAACTCAGGCTTCCTTGCTTCCGGGCTCCAGACCTGCTCAGGTGCCTCCTGTGTGCTCTTAAAGTACCTCTTTAGAGTCCCTTTCATACTAATTTCCTTGCTCATTCCACAAACCTTTATTGAGAACCTGTATGGCAGGTACTATGCTGGGTGCTAAGAAGAAACAGAAAAAGGGGGGGCGGGGCTGAGACCTTTTAGGCTTACATTTTTTGAGGGAGCCAGATGAGACACAAGATAACCACCAAGTAAACAAAAAAACCATCCCTGGCTGCAGTAGGATGGCTGGGCAGCAGAGTCGGCCGGCCAGCTGCACTGGCCTCTAGGGGGCAGCACCACTACCTTGTTCAGTGCTTGGTACTCAACAGGTGCTTGGCAAGTATCTGCTAAAGTGAGTAGGTGAGAAAATCTATTTGATTCTCAAAGGGGCCCTCTACTGCCTCCAGCTGCCCAGATGCAGCCAGAGAAGGAACTTTCTGTCCTTCCTGCTGTCCTTTTAGCCCTGGGACAAGAGAGGAGGTCAAGGAGTGTCAGGCTGAGCAAGCCCTGGTCTCTGTGCTGTGGGGTCCATCAGTCATGATGCAAGGCCTGTCCACACAGCACGGGGTTCTGGGCCAGGGTGCAGTAGGCCAACAGGGCCTCTCACCTTCCCGCAGTGCCGACACTTGCCATCCTGGCGCCGCCGGTGTACCCAGTGGTGACGCACAAAGGTGGGCTGGTGGAGGAGAAAAGAACCGTCACTGGGAGGAGGCACGGTGGGTGAAGGGCACAGGGGTTGAGCACGGCCTATTACTCTCAATGTCAATGGAGAGGTGTAGGGGCTACGAAGTTCTCAGCAGTCCTGTGGGTGAGGTGAGAGGGCTGAAGACTCCTATCCGTGACTTGAGACTCTGAGAAGGATGTGACTTCCCCAGGGTGGTGCAAAATTCGACAGAGGGAGCTAGGAGGCCTACGGAGGCATGCTGTGCCCTAGCCCCTTCTGCAGCCGGCCTTTCCCTTGAGACCTCAGAGCCTCAGCCTGGCACCTCCCAGGGCCCCAGGAGTCGGAAGGAGCTGAGACCCCTGGTGGCCCTCTGGAGGCACTGCAGAGAGGTCCACTTTTAAAATCTGGTTCTCCTTGCCTCTACCCGACAGGCACTTACCTCGCGAACGTTCCTGGAACCTGACTCCCGAAAGGATGGCTTACAACGGAAATTTATCTGTGAAATATTGCAATGACAGCAAAGTGTCAGAACCTCTCTTCGAGGTCAGCCATATGGCCACCCCCTCCAGGAAAGAGTCACCCAGTTATCCTTGCCCAGGAGGATTAGCTCAGTGCATCCTGGGAGCCCTTGGACTGTGAGACATCTCCTTCGGGAAGTCCTCCTGTGCTCCTCCCACTAGCCAGAAGGACTCTTTCCTTCCTCTGCCCCCACAGCTTTCTGCCCAGTATCCCAGGGTGAGGGAGAGAGTGGTGGTTTTGCACCCACTAAAATGGCACCTTGGTTTATTCATCTTTATAGTCTTCCCCACCCCCAGCACTCCGGCCGAGACACATGCAGGCGACCATCCTGCTTGCAGGCTTGTTCTGATGGGCCCTTGGAGTGCCTTTAGCTAGCCTGTGGAACCCAGGTTTGAGAAGATGATAAAGGGTCTACAGTGCCTGCTGCATTTCAGATCCTCTTTGCCTAACTGTCCCTGCTTCAGCTTTAGGGGGCTTCAGGGAAGCCTGAGGATCCCTGGGTGCCTCAAATGGCTAAGTGCCGGACTACGAACTGGAAGGTTGGCAGTTCAAACACACCCAGAAGCACCACGGAAGTAAGGCCTCGAGATCTGCTTCCTAACGGTTGCAGCTTTGAACACCCTGTGGTTCAGTTCTCTGCCCACGTGGGGTTGCCATGAGTCAGAACTGACTGGATGGCTGGTAACGACAACAGGAAAGCCTTGCTCTCTACCTCAGGGGGCGGGGAAAGAGCCCAAGGTAGCCCTGCTCATGCCATTCCTCGTCTTATGGACGTGCCGTGTGCTGGTCTGGGTTTCTGCAGGCTGGCGAGGCCTGAGGATCCACAACCACCCCTCCCAGCTGCTGCCTCGACCACAGAGACTGCCCAGCAACTCAGCGTTCTCACTATCTCCCTCTAGAAGCACAGGGTCTGCAAGTGCCCTCAGCTGCAGACACACTGTGGACAAGGTCTTGACAGAGGCTGCATGCAGGGGACAGTGCACAGGCTTTAGAGCTGCCCGGGACCAGCATGGCCAGTGCTGAGCCAGAAAGACTCAGCAAATCAGTGGCCTCTTCTAACCATTAAGTTAAACTCCAAACTCATTGTTGTGGAGGTGATCCGACTCATAGCGACCCCTCTTTGGGTTTCCGACATGGTATGAGCTCTGGTAGCATAGTGCCTAAGGCACTTGACTGCTAACCATAAGGCTGGCGGTTCAAACCTACCAGCCACTCCTCGGAAGGAAAGTTGGGCAACCTACTTCCGTAGTGATACCGCCTTGGAAACCCAAGGAGGGGTCACTATGAGTCGGGTCTGACTCAAAGGCACAACAACAACAGCAACATGTCTATGGAAGTACATTGCCCAATTGTCCTTCCAAAGAGTGACTGGTTAGCCTTCTGGTTAGCAGTCAAACACCTTAGGCAAGTTGGACATAGATAAACTGGTGTCATGGCCACCATTCACTAATTCATCTTTTCAAGAACAGTCAACGAACCCGACCCTGTGCCAGGCTCTGTTCTAGGTGCTGGGATCCAGCAATGCACAACCCGCCCTGCTTTCTGGAGCTCACAGTCTAGAAGACAGGATGAGAGGGCTGGAAAAAAGCACCATCAGACAATGAGTCAGAGCTACTTTAAGGATTCCTGCAGTCTGCTCCCATTTAGACTGCAACCTAGGAAACCCTGTGGAGCAGTTCTACTCTGTCCTCCAGGGTCACTAGGAGTCGGAATTGACTTGATGGCACACACTGACAAGATCCCCTTTCAAGAGGCCACACGGAAGACATCTCAGTGTGGCTGAGCCCTCTGAGACCCTACCCTGCCGCTCCCCCACAGCTGAGGTTCAGGGTGAGAATCGGCAGCAGCAGACAATGGTTTCTTAAGGTACCAGAAGCATAAGCAACAACAGATAAACTGGGTGTCATCCAAATCAAAGAATCCTGTGCTTCAAAGGACATTATCAAGAAAGTGAAAAGACAACCCACAAAAACGGGGCCTCCCGCCCCCTCCCCAAATCATACATCTGAGAAGGGACTCAGCACCCAGGCTACATAAAGAACTCTTACAACTCCATAATAAAGACAAATAACCCAATTAAAACAATGGGCGAAGGATCTGAATAGGCACTTTCCCAGAGACATACTAATGGTCAGTAAACACATGAAAAGATGCTCAACATCATTAGCCATCAGGAAAATGCAAAGAAAACCACAACAAGACACCATTTCACACTCGCCAGGATGGTTGTAATAAGAAAGACATGCAACAACAAGTGCTGGTGAGGGTGTGGACAAGGAGGAAGCCCCTATGTTGCTGGGGGGAAGTACAATGGTGCAGCTTTGGAAACCACCAGACACTCCTCCAAAAAAGCTAAACACAGAGTTAACATATGACCCAGCGATTCCACTCCTTGTTACATGCCCAAGGAAACAGCATGTTCACAAAAAACTTGAACAAAAATGTTCACAGCAGCATTATTCATAATCACCAAAAGGTGGTAATAACCCAAATGACAAACTGGCAGATGAATGGACAAACAAAATGTGGTGTATTCATACAATGGAATAATATTTGGTAATAAAAAGAAATGCTACATGTTACTACATGGATAAACCGTGAAAACATGCTTACTCGCAGTGAAAGAAGTCAGACACAAAGGACCACAGAGTGTATGAGTCCGTTTTTATCAAATGTCCAGAGAAGGCAAGTCTAGGGACAAAACACAGACCGGTGGCTGTCTAGGGCTGGGGGGACTGGACAGATTGGCTGTGTTGGCTAAGGAGAAAGTGGTTTCTTTTGGGGGTGATGGAAATATTCTACAATTGATTGTAGAGGTGACTGCACAACTCTGTGAATATATCAAAAGCCACTAAAGTGTACACCTTCAATGGGTGATTTTTCTGGTATATAAATTATCTCAATAGAGCTGTTTAAAAACCAACAGCAGCAGACAATTGTAGAGCATGTCTCACCGCCTCGTCCAAGCTTCACCTCATTTAATCTTCACAACAACCCCACGAGGTAAGTGCTGTGACTTTTCTGTTTAATAGGTGAGTTGTCTGAGGCACAAAAAGATTAAGTCACTTGCCAAGGTCTCACAGGTAATAAATGGGGAAGCCAGGATGGGAACGCTCCCAAATCTTGGCTCTTCACTACGTCTGTTGTGGGGGGGGGGGCTTGGCAGTCCACCTGTGTAACGTGGGACCAGGTGTGTAGTACTGAGAGTGCTATGCCAGTCTGGACCACCACTCACCTTCTCCAGCTGTTCGATGCAGGGTGTGTGCACCACAATCTTGCAAGCCGCACACTTCCTCCTGGACACTGACTTTTGCTGCAGGAAAGAAAGAGAGGGCCCCCGCAGGCATCTGGTAACTCCATCCGGGGCTCTGCCCCCAGGGCACGTGGAGAAATCCCGTTTCCTCAGTACCACTCAGGCCCCCTGTGCCCTGAGAACCTCCAGCCCTGGCTCCAGGCAACAAGACAAAGCCCCCATTTCCCTCGCCGGCTTGGGCAGCCCACAGTGGGGGCGCTCAAGTCTGTGATCGTGCCCCCTTTCCCAGAGGGCTGTAGGTCTGGCCAGCAGGGATCTGTTCACAGGCTTCTAGACCCGGCTCCACCACCAGGGGGCAGAATGCCACACAGAGCTCACTCACCAGCATCTTGGCTACACAGTACTGCTCCCCAACATAGCAGAAGTCCCCTGACACGTTGGTCTCAAACCAGATGTGCTCCCCATACGTCGCTGATTCCTAGGCCACGGGAGGAGTATGCTCAGTGCACGCCTGTCGCCCAGCCCATCCTGCACCTTCCATGCGCTCTGCTCCAAGGACAAAGCCTCGGCTCCAGCCACCACAAGCTACTTTGCTCAGTCCTGTTCTCCCCATCTTGGAGGCTTGCTTGGCTCAAACTCACCCCCCCCAGGCTTGCCGCTCTCCCGCAGACTCCCCTCCTCCCTTCCCCTCCCCTGCCCAGCAGGGGCTGGTACCCAGCACCCCGCACTCACGCTCCAGTCCACAGTGCTGCGGATCTGCCTCTCGGACTCGCCGCACAGGGCCCCGGGCGCGGGCGGAGGGGGTGCCAGGTGCGGGAGGCCCGACTTGGTGATGGCTTTCCTACAGAAAAGGAGACAGCTGAGGCCCGGGGCCAGCCGAGCCCTTGTTGCCTGCTTCCTTCTCCACCACCTGGGAGCTCAGCTCAACCCAAGGCCACCGGAGGGACTGCAGCAGGGAGGGCGGAGGGCCCCACGGAGCCCAAGACTCTGACAGGCTCCTCGTGGCCCTTGCGGAGTGTGTGCTGACTCCAGGGCACTGCCTGGAGCTGCTCCTGGGCGGCACGGAGCCTTAGGGCCCTGGCCGGCCTCTTGGGGCCACACTACTCGCTTTGCTGGCTGTGGCTATACCTACGCAAGCACGGCACTCCAGGCCAGGGGTCCAACGGACTTGCGCCGTAGGGCTACCTGGCGCCTGCGGGATAGCGGGCGCACAAAGGTGGGCAACACGGGGCCCGCCGTGGTGCCCGAGGCTCTTCGGCCCCCAGGGCCAGGGTGCTGGCCCGAGGACCGGTGCTGGCTGAGGCGCCGATAGTAGCCGTGCAGGCCCCAGAAGGCGCGGTCGTAGACCACATCAGCAGGGAGCAGGTGTGAGGAGGCGTGGCGCAGGTAACGGGGCATGCGCAGTCGTGGCTGGATGCCTAGGTGTGGGGCTGACCCTGGTCTCTCGGTGCCTGGCTGGGTGGCACTCGATGCCCCAGCTGCCTTATCCTCCTTCTGGGCCCCCTCCTCCTCCTCCTCGTTCATGCCCACAGGCCTCGCCAGCAGCAGGGGCGTGCCCAGGAGTGGGGCCCCAACGGCGGCAGACCGGAGGGTGGGCACCTTGTCCACGGTGAAGCGAGGGTTGCAGGCTGGGGGTGCAGTGCTGGAGCGCCGGCGGCTGGTGCCTTGGGCCCCCACCCTGCAACCCAGGAGGCAGCCCTGGGGCTGTGCGCTGGAGCGGCGCCGCTGGGCCAGCGACGAAGAGGCCTGACCGACCGGGGAGCGGCGCTGGGCCTTGCTCATGGGCAACCCCACACGGCCTGGCGCCTTCCGGTGAAAGTGTCTCCTAAAGAAGGTCTCCATGGCAGGGGCGGGCAGGGGCTGTTGGGCACAGAGACCGGAGCATCATGAGCGTGGGGCCACGGTCCACCCCGCATCCAGCAGCCCATTCACAGCCCCCTCTGTGAGCAGCGAGGGGACATTTGGGATGGGGAACAACTATGGTCTCACCTCCATAAATGGGATGTTTATGAGTCCCAGGGAGTTCTAAGGGTTTCCACATTGTCAGCTGTTAGAAGCACTGATGCTGGCCCAGGAGTAATGGGTGGCAGGGGGCGTTAGGCTACCCACCCGTCTTTCCCTGTCCAGGAATCAGAGTCCACAAAGCCCTGGGCCTACAGGACCTCAACACTTGCCAGAAGCTGATGGAAAAGAAAAGCGGAGCTGGGAGTTGGGGTCCTGAGTTCCAGTTCCAAGCTGCCACAGACAGCCTGGGGGCCAAGGGCAAGGCTTCCCCTCATGTGGGGCTTCTGCTCTGCCACCACTATGGGGAAGGTTAGGTTCCTCCTGGGACGAGACATAACCAAGCCGTGGGGGAAAAAGGAGGCACTCTGCAAAGGAACTCAGGCCCGAGGAGACCCCTGCCTGGCTCAGCCCCAGTCTGGGGTCAGGTTGAGTGGCACTCGGAAATTGAGACAGCATGGCATCTGACTAAGGGACTACAGGGCCCTGAGGAAATAAGGCCCCCAGTGAACTGAGGAGTGGCTGGGGTAAAAGGCCACCCCAGCCTTCGTCCAGGGGACTTCAAATAGGAAGCCACATAAGAAAAACCCTCTGGATTCTAGGTTTGTGTGGGTGTCTGTGTCTCAGAGGGACTGACAGGTTTTCAGCACAAGTGTCTCCCCTAAGCTAGAGGCACAGGACGGGCATTCCTTCCTGTTAGAGCACTGGCTGATGTCTGAAACCCTCCCAGACTGACCACAGTGCTCTTGGGTCACTGAAGCAGAAGCCCTGGCTCTCAAACTTCCTAACAAGGAGCTGCCCTCGCTCCCTTCTGCAGGAGGCAGGGCCCTGGGGACAATCCTTGGTCACCTCAACCCATTCTGGAGAGCGAGGACTGGTTTCCTTCCTTAGCTCACCTGCCCTGCTCTTCTGTACAGGCCACAAGGATTAGGGCCCTAGCCCTCACCTCTTCTTCTCAGTTGGGGCAGGGCAGGAAGCCTGGTATGGTTTATGATGGCAATGCCACCAGAGGGCCTAGGGTCAGATGCCCTGTGCCCCACCATCAGGTCCGTGGTCCCTAAGCCTGGGGGTAGGTGCATTCTAGCCCCTGGCAGCCACTTGGAGGTCAGAGTAACAACCCTGAGACAGTGCTGTCTGGGGCTAACAGGACAAACACCCCTGCTTCCTAAGGGCTTGGCAGGAGTTAGGTGTAGCAGGTGGGTGCCCTGGACAAATGGTGGGTAGGAGGGGAGATTAAGACAGAGCTTGGAAAGAGCCCTGCTGGTGCAATGGTTAAAAGCTCGGCTTATCAAAAGGTCAGTGGTTTGAACCCACCAGCTGTCCCAAGAAAGAAAAGACCTGGTGACCTGCTTCTGTACACATTCCAGCCTAGGAGACCCTCTAGGGCAGTTCTACTCTGTCCTAAAGGGTCCCTATGAGTTGGAATTGACTTGATGGCAATGGGAACGCACTTGGAGTCAGGCTTGGCCTGTGTGTCTAGCACCTCCTCCCATTCAGTCTGGCTTTGCTACTGAGGCTGTGGGTCTGGGAAGGTGGCTTTGGGTCTGAGCCCTGGAAGGTGCTAGGGAACCGAGAGACAAGAGGACAGGGCCGAGGTGTCTGGCTCCTGTCATTACTGAGCAGTGTTAGAGATGCCTGGCTCTTGCCCCTGCCTGTTACACTCCCCAGCCCCTGCAGATGATGAGGCGAAGGGCAGGGCAGTGAGCTTCGGGGGTGGCAGAGCTGGCAGCCAGAGAGAACATGGCTCCCTCCTAAAATCCATATCATCATGGCTGACACTTGCTGAGTCTGGTGCTGTGCTAAGTCTGAGGAGCAGGTGCTGTAATATGCCACGTTCCTGATGAGGAAACTGAGGCACAGGGAGGTAACTGTGGGTAAGTCCACAGCGGTGGAGCCAATGCAGAACACAAGCCTACCTGAGGGCAAAGCCTGCCCCTTGCAGCCCAGAGATGGGGCAGAGCATAGGGTCTTTCCTCTTAAGACCATGAGGGATGAGGTAGGGAAGGAAATCATAATACTAACTGTCCGATTTACTGAATACCTACTGTGTGAAAGGCCCTGGGCTGAACGCTTTCTCAATTTTTCTGATCCCTACCATGACCCTGTGAGGGAGGCAGGCCCAAGGGCTCCATTACAGAGATGAGGAAGCTGAGTCTTGAAGAGGGGCAAAAGCACCTCCAAGGTCACAAGGTCAGTCAGTGGCAGAGCAGGGACCTGACCCAGGTCTGCCTGACTCGGCTCTGCTCCCTGGGCTGGCTAGGCTCAGGCCTGCCCAGAGGTTGGCTCTGTGTCCAGCCAAGAGGAACCGTAAGACCTCTCTGCCCAATGCTGGCAGAGCACAGGTGGCCCACCTGCCCCTTCCTGCCAAGGCATGGCTGGCTGGTGCTGCCCCAGGGTGTCAGCTTTCCCCAATCGTCTGGCCAGGCTGCCCTGTGACAGCTGCCCAGCCCGGAGATTAGTCACCCGGACACACCACCTGATGCTACTGTCACCCAGAAAACAAAAGGCCACAGTCAGTATGGGGGAGGTGCTGCTGGTACTCTCTGGGTGGTGGGGAGGGCTGGGCCCGCCGGCTGCCCGGACCCACACTGGCAAGGGGTCTAGGAGGATGTGGAGAGTCACAACACTAGGGGGGGCTTCCAGGTGCTGCCATGCTACAGCACGCCACCCCACACATTGCTGGGACAGCCAGAGTCCACATCTGTCCACCCTGCACACCACCGGGGTAGCCAAAGTCCACATCTGTCCAGGGCCTTCCTGGCTACCCACTAGTCACTCCCAGTAGACAACGAGGCAGGCCAGGGCCAGTGTCGTGTGACCATGTGCAAAGCTGTGCATTCACGGGCCTCAGTTTCCTTGTTTGTCTGAGACCATCAGACTGGCTGATGTGACACTAAATGACCAGTTCTTTTGCCAGGCTCCCAGATGCCCCCTCCCCCCCAGTCATGCTTCCTGTTCCTCTGGTCTCCATAGCAACCTCTGTCCTCTGGTCAGTAACTGCTTGACTCCTGACTTCCTATCTCTGCTGAGGCTTCTCTGGGGTCTGGTCACAGCCTGGCCTCAGGCCTCTCCCCACCTTTCTTCTGCCTGGGCCTTGAGCGTCTCCCCAGAGCTGCTCTGAGCACAGCTTCTCCCTACCACATGCTGTCACCTCCAGCATACCACACAGTACATGTAAAGGTCACTGCAGGCAGCCCCACAGGGCTCTGACACCAACAGTGCAGCAAAATGGCTGCCCCTCAGTCTGCTGGTGGGGAGCCTGGGGAAGCCTGAGCAGGCAGGATGGATAGGGGCTCAGGGGCCCATCAATGCCCAGCTGGCTGGTGGGGCCTGGAGAGGGCAGGGGCTTGTGGGAGCGCAGAAGACAGTGGTGTCTGGCCACATGCACCTGATGCGGAGTTGCAATGAGGCGACGGGCAGCTGAGTAGCATGAGTGCCCCAGCACCGTCAGCTGTTGGCCAGAGGCCAGCACCCTTCGCCTCCCAGCCCCGAGGGTCCTCACACCCCATGCTAGTTTTAAGTGGAAACGCCCAAGGTCTTTGGAATCCTGCATCTGCCATTGACCACAGTGTTATCATGGGCTCATCAGTGAACCTTTCTGAGCTTCAGTTTTCTCATCTGCAAAATGGGATGGACCGTACCACAGAGTTCAGAGAGTTGCCATGAGGTGGGTTCTGACAAGATGATGGACGTAAGGTCCCTGGCAGAGCAGGGGCAGGGCAGGGCCGATCACCTGCCACCGGCACCAGTGTGTGTGGATCGTGCCATCTCCCGGGGTTTATCTCTGCCCACAGTGGGTGTGGGAACCCAAGAAAGGGAAGCAGGAGTGCCCAGGGTAGC